AGAATTTGATAACCAAAAATTTTGAGAGACAACGTTTTATGTTCGGCGTTGTGTTTGGTTTGGTTTGGTTGAGTCGATCAGGCGAGGCTTTTAGATTCGGTGATTTATACAAAAGCACACAACGACATGGCGATTGAGCAACAATAACAAGTCTTTGTTGTTCGGCTGTGGACATAAATGGCGACATACATACACCATGTTTGCTTTTCGGGGCACGAGCCTTGGTAAACAGAACCCAGAATAATCGTGTTCCTCTAAAAATATTAATATTGTTTCCATTCATCCCCGTGTCCGTTGTACCATGGTGGAAATTTCGATATTTTCGACAACCGCTCTCTGTGTGTTTTCCAATCATCATGAGCGCGTCGGTGTGAGTAATCGGACCGCTGGTCTTCAAGTCGATGTAACAATGCCCTGTTCTCTTTCGTAATTTTATCAAGGTCCCTTTGGCGTTTTTTGTAGAAATCGCTCTCACGTTGATGGGGAGGTCTGTCATTCAGTCGCCCCCTTCCCCCGTCGATCATCAGCAATCGTTCCAGTAGTTTTCTGTTGTCGCTCTGTATTTTGGCGGCGCGTGATTCATCCGCCCTGTATTGCTTAACTTTCGACATATATACGTAGCTTTGAGGTAACTTGTTGTCCAGCGTCGATTTGATCCGGGAAATCCTGTCTTTATCCATCTGGACGGCTCTTTCCTGCTCGTCGTGCAGTTTCTTCAGTCTGCTCTCCTGTATCGCGGCGTAAGCAGCCATTTTGTTGTCAATGTTCGAACGAGCTTTCTGCACTCGCCGCTTGTGCATTTCCAATGCCCTTTGCTCCCACGTCTCCTCGAATGTGTGACGTCGATTCATCGTCACACACCACCGACTATCGATTACGCTCTTCGCGGCTTTTAACTTCCCGTAATGGACTTAGACGCGAATTCTTCACGTTTTCTCTGCAGTGAGGGAAGTTCCCGTTGGCGGATCATGTTAAATTAATTTCCATCGTGAACAATTCCAAATATAACCGTTCTCGAAAAAAGTTAAATCATTTTCTTGTTCTGTAGAAATGTTGTCCGGGTATACCTGCTCAGGTTAAACGCGTTTAATAGTCAGTGTTTTGATCCTGACTCGGGTTAGCCGTCCACGTTTCCAGGACGAATAGTTTTAAAATCGTACCCTCGCATCGCTCTTACATTATAACGCATCCAATGATGGCAACACTCGCCGCCGCTTGATTGATACCACCTGTGCATTTTCACAGTCCCATGCCGGGCTCACAGTTACCATTCAACGCCGTCCTAGTACCTGTCAGCGTTCAGCCATCCAAATGAAGATCTCAACTTTGCTGAACTAATTAACGCGTTCCTAGCTATTTACGTTCCATTCTGCGTTTAATGAATTTTGTTAAGGACTGTTTCGGTGACGCAGTTTGGCAGAAGTCCCAGATATTGGCTCGGGTAGTATAAGACGACTTCAGTAACCTTCTTCTGGCACTTAAGGTCAACAAACTGATTTTTTTTTCTCGAAACTCGCTTTTTATGACATGTTCAGGAGTTACACCCTCACAATAAAATGCCGCCAACGCCCCAATTATTATGATAAAGCGGACTTTGGACTGTTAACTCAAAGTTGGTGTTTTGTCAGTCAAACAAGGGATATATTGTCTGTGCCTATGCAATAGAAGTCAGTTTACCCTAATTCGTACACGAGTTGCATTTTTCACAATTTGTATGCCTTTTTAATATAATAATCACCAATTTTTCACTGTTTGTACGTTCACAGAAATATATCCATAAATTTCAAAATAACCAACATATTAGTACAAAAGTAGTAGTGAACTTGTGTCGACAATAAAATAAAACAAACATTTAATTGTTATGAATTAGTTGCAAAAGATTAGATCTCCCTAAACAACTGTATTTGACATTGTCCAAAAACCTTTCATTGCGAAAAATAGTTGGCAACACTATCGTACACCATTTACACACCACTTAACGATAAAAAAAAGAGAATCTCGATCGCGAAAACAGCACCGTAATTTACATAATTTATATGGGTTACATCCACCACGTGACAACTGTGAGAGTGTGTGCACGCACACGTAACTTGTTGATAACTAGAAAACATTTCCCTCGTACAATTATTATCATGAAGCTGTACTCTAAATATTAATTTCAAAAAATTTCAATGATAACAAAAACGTTTTCTCAGAAAAGTTTCCAACGGAAAAGTTGATTATATACCATTTTAACATCACGGAAACGTTGTTACTCAGGCTGTCTGGTGAAAACCGATCGATATTTTTTTAACGCTATTAATATATGAATACTTTTATCGAATTATTTATTTCATCACGGAGTTTAATATACCTGCCAAACTTGAAATGATTTGAATTTTCTTTCAATAGCGAGCAAATAGTTTCACTAGAGTGCCCCATGACAATACTAAATTTGAACACATTGCAGCACGTCAACACGTCTGTGTGACAGTCAGGTAAACTGGACACAATGCTCGATGCAATGTCCGTCATCACTCAAAACTCATCTCTGCTGCTTTCTTTATCAGCGAAGGCGAAACGAGTTCCATACGCAATTGTTGTGTCCAACTCTAAGGGGGAATTTACGAAGAAGGTTCTCGGGGTCACCTGAGTCATGCAATTACGAGACAACAAAACTCGCCGTTAAAAAGGCTCGTTCAGGTGTTAATATCTACTATAATGTGATCCAATTGATTCACCGAATGATTCGCGATGTATCCATACAACTAGTCCACCATGAAAGGAAGCTCATCGAAACGATGTCATTGGATGAATAGAACAGGGTTAAGACGGACTAAGGGTGTTTTACCAGTGCTCTTATTTTCTCCGCTCGCTTTAGAAAACGCGAATTACAATTCAACTCACCTACTCGCTAAGATTACAATATTCGTATCAGATTGAACGGCCTGTTTCTTCGGTTGTAAAACAACTTCAATGCACTGTTGACAATATAATTGTTTATTTTTCTCCTTTTGGTTCATAAACTTCGCAGGAACAGGTTTTCACCGCTACGCGTGGATGCAGTGAGCAAATACTCGTACTGTGAATGCAAAAATGCACCGGAGACTCGTATGATGCAAATAAACTGTTTTATTATTGTATTGTGTACGTTGATTAAAATACATCGAGATTTTCTTATATTGTATTTTTATTTAAACGAATACCCCCTTTCTATGTTTATTTGAAACTAAAGTTCACATATTCATAATAAAAAAGCAATATGAACAATGTTTAAATAATGTTGTTTGAAAATACACCCTAATTGTTGTTGCTATAACGATGAAACAAACAGCTCGCATGGATCCTTGTTGTATATTGGGAACGGAAAGATGTTGACTTCGAGCAGTCATCCAATAAATAGTGTTTTCATGGGACACTTTTACGGTACGTGTGGGACTACGAATGATGCAGTCTCCGTCGTGTTAAACTGTAACCCTACCCGCAAACTCATCTATAATCGTTTAGCCAACAGCGATTACATGTTTATATAACAAATCATAGTTCCGACAAAAATCAAGCTCTGGCGGCGAGAATGTGTTGAACCAATTGAACGATCAAAATTAATTACATTGCCGACTGATGGCGCTGTATTCTGGAAGGAGATTGTCTAGAGCATGGAAGCACGGTTTTTAGTAACTGTGATGTAAAATGAAAAAAGACACGCTGTTATTGTTTGTGTGCGGGCATAATCGCAAATTTCGAGGGAAGGCGGGGAGACAGCATGTCCGTAAAAACGCCCAAACTTGTGAGATTATTAGCGTATTTACATCCAATATATAATCACAGAACAGAGCAGACAATAGTTTATTGATATGTAAATTATTAAAATTAATGTAAATTATGTTTTCATTGTTTCTGTATGCATATGCAAATTATATACTTATTATTATAACCTGGGAGAGTCACTGTCAAGGCTAAAATCTTCCGCTTTCTTAGTGGGGTCAGCGACCTGATGACGATAATTGGATTGCCTTTTTTCCCTTTACAGGCAAGCCAATAAATTCAAACACTTGTAAAAATTATATATCGTTCTCGATAACAGTTGAAAATGGACAAAATGGACAAAAGACCCACGTGCACTGAATATCATTGTACGTACCAAAATAACCTGTGCACATGCGCATTAACTTCATTGGACGAATACTGTGTTGCAATAACAGCGTTTTCAGTTCCTATTATTCAGATGTATAAAAGAAAAATACTAGAGATGTTCTATTCCATATCACATTTAAAAAAAAAACGGAATGACTAAAAATGGATTATTATAAGTTAAACATTTTAAGATAACCCGCAGGGAAAACATTCGCTTGAATGTACATAAATATAATCGATCACAACCAAACATATTTTATGTTACCACATTGTACGCGTTTAATACGCTTTGATATATTATGTATAATCATATTATATTATGCAAATATACAGGTTTTAGTGTATTTACAAATTATAACTACAGTTTCTTATAATATAATAATAATATATCATAAACATGTTTTTTTCGTATATTTATTTTAATTATTTTCATTAATTTTATTTAATTATTGGTAATTTTTCTAAAGTGTTGGTATTCGCGAATAATAGTAAAAATAAATTAAAATAAAAAA